GAGCTGCGGCGCCCCCTGGCGGCGAGGCGGGCTTGAGAGGCCCTGAAGGGCCTGTGAGAGGGACCTGGGGCGCTCCAGGTCCTCAGACCCCCCTGCAGCAGACAGCTGTTTGTCCAAGTTCAGTCATTTAACCCGATTTCCTGCATGATGTGGAACGTTTAATGGGAAGAGCGGGCGTAAACTCCGTTTCCACAAAACTTAAAAAGCTTCAGCTAGTGGACTTTTAAGGCGTAATGATAATACTTGAAATGCTTAAGTGGCATGGCATAGTCATAACAAAATGGAAAAAAATACATTCGAAGACAGGGACAGGCAAGGCGTCTACACAATAGTTAAGATTGTATTCAGAATTCTGAGTTTATTCAGAAATATTTATCGAGCCATTCTAGGTCCTGGGAACATGGTGATGAATAAAGCAGACATAGTCCCTACCCTGCCCGGGGCACTCACAGCATAATGAGGAACTGTTAATTTATTTTTTTGGTTGTTTTGAGACCGGGTCTCACTATGTAGTTGAGATTGACCTGGAACTCACAAAGTAGCCCAAGCTGGTCTCGAACTCACAGCGATCCTCCTCCCTCAGCCTCCCGAGTGCTTGGGAATACAGGTGTGAGCCACCACGCCTGGCGAGGAACTGTTAATTAAACAGGCAAAAGCAATTTAACATCGAATGTACACAAAATGTGTGATTGTTTAAGCACCTTTTGGGGTTTCCACAGTGGGCTAGTGTACTTTGGGATCGTGAGATTTGCTTCCCGTGATTATTTTATTCTTAGGCGGTTCAGATATGCCACTAAACCTCTTGGATTTAATAAGATTATTTCCTCTCATTGCCTGAGGTATTGGTTATCATCCATCTCTCTGCTGCTTTTTGCAATTTTATTATTAGTGCTTTGTGTTAGCTTTCCCTTACTTTGACAAAATACCTGAGGTAATCAACTTACAAGGAAAAGGGTTATTTCAGCTCACAGTTTCAGCCTGTGGTTGCTGGCCCTGTCATGGCAGTGTATTCTGCTGGGAATCATAGTGGAAGAAGTCTGTTCTCCTCTTGGCATGGGGAAAACAGACAGAAAGACGGGAAGGGACGACCTGAGAACCCCTACAATTACACGCCCTTAGTGACCTCCTTTCATTCCCCTAGGCTCCATCTCTTAATAGTTCCACAGTCCGAAAACAGACATGGGCTTCAATGCACAGGGACATTTCAGGTCCAAACTAAAGCATGCCTCTACCTCCTCACCTTGCAGTCAGTCTGCAGTTTGCCATCAGATCCTATACTGCTCTGAAATGGTTGTTGAGAAAGTTACTGGTAACCTCCATGAGGTGAAATCTAGTGGATCCTTTTTATCTGTTTTTACTAGATATCTTGGCAACTTTCATTGGTTGAATACTCCTGTCTTGAAACACTCTTTGGTTTTCCTTTGATGTAGCAAAGTTCTCTTTTCTAGTCTCTTTTGTCTATTCTACCCACATATTTTTTTAACAAGCCTTTCCATCTTTTTTTTTTTGTTGTTGTTGTTTTTTGGTACCGGAGATCGAACTCAGGACCATGTGTTTGTGAGGCAGGTGGCAGAACCACTGAACTAAATCCCCAGCCCTTTTCCACCTTTTAATATGCGAAGAACTTCATCTTTTATTTAGACTTCTGACTCTGCTTGTGCCTTCTACACTTTCACTGTGATTTTCTGCTCTTCTATAAGGAAAGTATGCTTGATCTTGTGACAGACACACTTGGCACTTGGGCCGCGGTAGGCCCTGCTGATGTGCTTCTTTGTTTTAGACAATCTCATAAGAACTTTAGGTCGCCCAGCATGAACTTGAACTTCTCAAAGTCTGTCCAGGCACACACCACATGCAGATTTGGGTGCCTTCTCATCCTTCTCCGTATAGAAGTAAACAGTTCTATTCCCTGGGGTTCGGGACAGCCCGGTTTTGTTAGAGGCTTTATGGTAGGAAAGCCCACAATTGTGTGTGAAGCGCTGGACCATTGTGGAAGCCTTTAGACCCTGGCCCCGGAAGAATGCTCTTCTCACATTTTTAACTGTTGGGTGGCTTCAGCTCTCAACCTTTATGTTCTTTTCTCTTCTCACCCTACAAACTTTCCACTCACCAGATTTAATTGTAGGTGATCACCCATACCCCAGTTTTTGTGGCCCTGGCAGTATGCATTCAGTAAGTTTACTGTGCACATTGCCAATTGCTGACAGCGCAGTGGATACCATCTTGAGTGTTCTTTCACTCAGTGGTACAAATAATAGACTAGCACATAAGCAGCCAAATGTGTAATTAGAGATTGGGGAAAAGCAGTGAGGGAAAGAAATGGGATGCTATGCTAGGAAACAGCTAAGTGGTGTCAGGAAATATCTCGGAGGAGACAGCATTTATATTGAGATTTTTAAAAATTTCCTCCAAATTTGCCTTATGTAATTGGGTAGATATAAATTAGTGAACAGAAATTTAAGCAAGATACATGTAATAATTTGTGTAATAATGTAGCTTCTTTCAATTTTCATCAGATTCATCTTTAAGTCATTCTATCCTGGGACTCATAAGGAAATTAACCAACATAGGCACAATACAGTTGAATGTCAAATAAGAACTTATGACATACTAAATTTTCCTATAATGCAATTATTAAGAACCTTCCAGAAACCTGTTTATATGTAGAAAATGTTGAGTCAAATATTCAACTCAATATAAAATAGTAAGAAACATTTTTTTTAGGTGGAGACCACTTCTTTTGCTAATGAATGATTTTTAGCTGAACAAATCTCTGAGCTGAACAAATAAGTCACCTTTGAGTACACAAGGAAAAATAAACACATGCTAAGTGGATAAAACAGTACTATTACATATTTATTAGACCATCTCTACCTCTAGCACTTCAGAAGTTTAGAGATTTAGAGTATTCTTAAAGTAACTGCAAAAAAAATGAGGAATTCCTTTTTTGAGATCACAACTATGAAGTTATATGGTTATACAAGTTCTGCATTTGTGTACAAAACATGAAACACATTTACCTTTCTTCCCTGCTTAGTCTTATCAGCCATCTAGCAGGATTTAATAGATACTGTTCCAAGAGACACAGACTGAGATGTGTTTATATAACTTCAATAAACCCCAGCACAACAATAATGAGAGATGCATGGGTCAAAACAACAAGGAAGGAGGTCATAGGAAAGAGAATAAATCAAAATTGTCACACTGAAAAACTACTTGTTATGTTTCATCATGGTGCTACCTTCATTTTCAAATAAGCACAGTGGCATATCAAGCTCAATAAATCAGAAATCTTAGTAATTTAAAATTTACCTTGACTTTCAATCATCTTCATATTAACAACCCAAAACAGTTAAATAAACACATAGAAAAGGATACTGTGAAACCGTTTTGCTGGAGTTGGTTTCTTGATGCATTAATTCATTTTTTATAGAAAATGGATAGTTTATTTCAGTAAATTGAAATTTGAAAGCTGACAAGGATCCAGCAAGGAGAAAAGCATTCCAAGAAGTAGAACAGGAAGGAATGTGGTGAATAACTTTACCACTTGAATGCTTGAAGTACTTTTATCTTGTACATTTTGACCTTATCCAGGGCCTGGATTTTACTATCTCAGAGGAAGGGATCATGAACATAAGGCTATTTTTGTATTTTCTATTTGTACTATGAGTAGACAGCTCCAGACTATGGTTTGACTAATGATTTTCCAACTTTACAAAGTTAGAAAATGATCTACACGATCAGTAGAAACTATAATTCAGATTTTGAATTTTGATCTTTTTTCTGGGCTAGCAGTGGGGTATGGTTATTTTCTCTGGATGTTGGGTGGCAGTAGCAGCAGCAGCAGCAGCAGCAAGCTGTAGATCACAGTCAGTCTTGTGATGACCACCAATGCTCTCCATTGAACTGTTTTGCTAAATTGTGGTGTTGTGTAGGTCACATGTATTGATTTTTTTACTTGCAATATTTTAAATTTACTGTGGGTTTATTAAACGCAATCACATCATAAGTCAGGGGCATCTGTATAGTTAACTCTCAGTAAACCTTTGCAGAGGATGGAGATTTGTGACTGCTAGGGACTGTTTTGAATGCAGTTCATTTAAATAAGTTGTTTAAGGTTAAGGAATATCATTTAAAATGTTTGGCTAAATCTCAATAGGATGCAAAGGAAAAGTGTTTCAGATATAAACCAAGGATAAGTTTTGTGCTAGTTTTTTTGTTTATTCAGAACACTATATGTAATTTAAAACAATTTTCTATGTTTAGCATGTACTTTTTTTTTTTTTTTTTTTTTTTTTTTTTTTTTTTGGTTTTTTGAGACACAGAGTCTCACTGTATAGTTGAGACTGACCTGGAGCTCACTATGTAGCCCAGGCTGGTCTCGAACTCACAGTGATCCTCCTGCCTCAGACTCCTGAGTCCTCGGATTACAGGCGTGCGCCACCATGCTGGCTGTACTTTTTTTTTGAATTGAAAATTGTTGGATTTTAATTTCTTTTTTGCTTTA